TCCTCGTCACACCACTGAGTCCTGGATCTCAGAGCCCAGGCGCACCCGGGGTCTTTGGCAGGCAGGAGACACCTCCACAAAGCTGTCCCGGATGTGAAGGGGCCTCTTCTCTGACTCGGAGAAGGTGCGTGGCGTGCCCGAGGGCTCGTGCACTGGGGTGCTGACGATGTAGTTGTCCTGCAGGGCCTGGTAGCCCTTGTGCTCAGATGCCGCACTGGGCAAGCTGCTGCCATTCAGGGGCAGGCTCTCCACTGGCTTGCGAGGTGGCTTCTGGTGCCGGCTTGGGTCTCCAGGCTCCAGCAAGGCCTTCATGCCATCGCGGTGCCGGTGCAGGACAAAGAGGGCCAGCACGAAGACGGCGGCGGCAAAGAGCACACACATCACCAGGAACTCAGTCCAGTAGGTCTTGCCATCCAGCCGTGCTGCGGCGCTGCCCACTGCCGAGGTACTCCGGGACGTGCTGACCGTCTCCAGGGCATCATGGCCTGAGGCCACCTTCCTGCCAGGGTCCAGCGGCCCACGGCCCAGCTCCTGCACGCTCACACAGTAGCTGGCCATCAGCTTGTGGAATCCCTCCTCCAGTGACCAGCACTCGTAGGTGCCTGTGCGCTCGGGGCTGCCCACCAGGATGAGGGCCCCATCGGGCAGCACCAAGTAGGACGCGTTGACAGGTGCCCCGTCGTGCAGCCAGCGCCGCGAGGCCAGGTTGGAGAGCAGCCGGCATGGCAGCGGCCGCACCGCGTTGGGCGGCAGCTGGATCCGCTGGCATGGGGCACCAGAGGCTGCAGACAGAACTCATGGTCAGCGAGGGGACCCTGGATGCGGATGGGGGAGTAATGGGGGTGCAGATTGGGAGCCTGGGTTGTGTGGGAGCCCCTGAGACACCCAGTCCCAAGGTAGCACCCACAGGAGCTCACCTGGGGGCAGGAGGATGCGGGGACGGGGCTGGGAGGCATTGGCCAGCTGGCAGAGCCGCTCCGTGTCAGCGTCCTCGATGTCCTGTGCCCAGAGCCTGGGGACAGACAGGTGTCAGGGCAGTGGGGTGCT